CCATCAAATCCCATCTCTCATCAAATCCCATCTCCCACCCCCATTTCCCATCTCCATCTCCATATCCCATCTCCCATCTCCCATCCCCATCTCCCATCTCCCATGTCCCATCAAATCCCATCTCCTATCCCTATTTCCCATCTCCCATCCCCATCTCCATCCCCATCTCCATCCCCATCTCCCATCCCCATCTCCCATCTCCCATCTCCCATCTCCCATCCCCATCTCCCATGTCCCATCAAATCCCATCTCCTATCCCTATTTCCCATCTCCCATTCCCATCTCCATCTCCCATCCCATCCCATCCCATCCCCATCCCCATCCCCATCTCCCATCAAATCCCATCCCAACCCATTCATCCCATCCCATCCCATCAATCCCATCCCATCCCATCCCCTCCCATCCCCTCCCATCCCATCAATCCCATCCCATCAATCCCATCCCATCCCATCCCATCCCATCCCATCACCATCCATCCCATCCCATCCCATCCCATCCCATCCCATCCCATCCATCCTCCCATCCCATCAATCCCATCCCATCCAATCCCATCATCCCATCCCATCCCATCAATCCCATCCCATCCCATCCCATCCCATCCCATCCCATCCCATCAATCCCATCCCATCCCATCCACCCCATCCCATCCCATCCATCCCATCCCATCCCATCCCATCCATCCCATCCCATCCCATCCCATCCCATCCATCCCATCCCATCCCATCCCATCCCCATCAATCCCATCCCATCCCATCAATCTCATCAATCCCATCCCATCCCATCAATCTCATCCATCCCATCCCATCCCATCCCATCCCCATCCCATCCCATCCCATCCCATCAATCCCATCCCATCCCATCAATCCATCCCATCCCACCCCATCCCATCCCATCTTATCCCATCCCATCCCATCCCATCCTCATCCCATCCCATCCCATCCCATCCCATCCCATCCCATCCATCATCCCACCCCATCCCATCCCATCCCATCAATCCCATCCCATCAATCCCATCCCATCCCATCAATCCCATCCCATCCCATCCCATCCCATCCCATCCCATCCCATCCCATCAATCCCATCCCATCCCATCCCATCAATCCCATCCCATCCCATCCAATCCCATCCCATCCCATCCATCCATCCCATCCCATCAATCCCATCAATCCCATCAATCCCATCAATCCCATCCCATCAATCCCATCCCATCCCATCCCATCCCATCAATCCCATCAATCCCATCAATCCCATCAATCCCATCCATCCCATCCCATCCCATCAATCCCATCCCATCCCATCAATCCCATCTCATCCCATCCCATCCCATCCCATCAATCCCATCAATCCCATCAATCCCATCCCATCCCATCCCATCCCATCCCATCCCATCCCATCCCATCAATCCCATCCCATCCCATCAATCCCATCCATCCATCCCATCCCATCCCATCCCATCCCATCCCATCCCATCCCATCCCATCCCATCCCATCAATCCCATCCCATCCCATCAATCCCATCCCATCCATCCCATCCCATCCCATCCCATCAATCCCATCCCATCCCATCCCATCAATCCCATCCCATCCCATCCATCCCATCCCATCAATCCCATCCCATCCCATCCAATCCCATCCCATCCCATCCCATCCAATCCCATCCCATCCCATCAATCCATCCCATCCATCCCATCCCATCAATCCCATCCCATCCCATCCATCCCATCCCATCAATCCATCCCATCCCATCCCATCCCATCCCCATCCCATCCCATTCCCATCCCATCTCCCATCCCATCCCATCCCATCCCATCCCATCTCCCATCCTCCATCTCCATCCCATCCCATCCTATCCCATCCCATCCCATCCCATCCCATCAATCCCATCCCATCCCATCATCATCCCATCCCATCAATCCCATCCCATCCCATCCCATCCCATCCCATCCCATCCATCCCCATCCCATCCCATCAATCCCATCCCATCCCATCCCATCCCATCCATCAATCCCATCCCATCCCATCCCATCCCATCCCATCCCATCCCATCCCATCCTCCATCCCATCCCATCCCATCCCATCCCATCAATCCCATCCCATCCCATCAATCCCATCCATCCCATCCCATCCCATCCCATCAATCCCATCCATCCATCCCATCCCATCCCATCCCATCCCATCCCATCAATCCCATCCCATCCCATCCCATCCCATCCCATCCCATCCCATCCCATCCCATCCCATCCCATCCCATCCATCCCATCCCATCCCATCCCATCCCATCCCATCAATCCCATCCCATCCCATCCCATCCCATCCCATCCCATCCCATCCCATCCATCCCATCCCATCCCATCCCATCCCATCCCATCCCATCAATCCCATCCCATCCCATCCCATCCACCCCATCCCATCCCATCCCATCCCCATCTCCCATCCCATCCCCATATCCCATCCCACCCCCATTTCCCATCTCCATCTCCCATCCCATCCCATCCCCATCCCCATCTCCCATCAAATCCCATCTCCCATCCCATCCCATCCCATCAATCCCATCCCATCCCATCAATCCCATTCCATCCCATCCCATCAATCCCATCCCATCCCATCAATCCCATTCCATCCCATCCCCTCAATCCCATCCCACCCCATCCCATCCCATCCCATCCCATCCCATCAATCCCATCCCATCCCATCAATCCCATCCCATCAATCCCATCCCATCCCATCCCATCCCATCAATCCCATCAATCCCACCCCATCCCATCAATCCCATCCCATCAATCCCATCCCATCCCATCCCATCCATCCCATCAATCCCATCCCATCCCATCAATCCCATCCCATCCCATCAATCCCATCCCATCAATCCCATCCCATCAATCCCATCCCATCAATCCCATCCCATCCCATCCCATCCCATCAATCCCATCCATCCCATCCCATCCCATCCCATCCCATCCCACCCCACCCCATCCTGTATCTCCCACCACCTCCCATCCCCACCATTCCCGGTGCCGTTCCCGTTCGGGGCAGGGAGCTGGAGCTGCGCTTCGCCGTCTCGGAGGTGCCGGCCGTGGTGGTGCTGAAGCCCAGCGGGGACGTCCTGGTGGCCAACGCCGTGGAGGAGATCCAGAGGATGGGGCCCAGCTGCTTCCAGAACTGGTGGGAGGCCGCCGAGATCCTGGACAGGAATTTCCGCCTGGCCGAGGATTTCGACAGAAGCGCCCGCAGGAGCTTCACCCACCCCCTGCGCCGCCTCAAGTACAAGCTGGACAAGGAGCAGGAGCAGGAGCAGGACAGGGACAGGGACAGGGACAGGGAAGAGGGGGAGGAAGAGCCTTAACAACTCCAGCAGCTCCGTGGGATCCACGGGATGACCCCACCGGGAACGTCCCTCCGGTCACCGCCAACCCCCGAATCTCCAGAACTGGTTCGAACGTAGAAATCCGCCTAAAAACTCCTCAATTTTCCAAAAAAAAGGAAAAAAAAATCCTCCAGGAATTATATTATGGCAAAATTCCACTCCCACATCCGGCTTTTCCCGCCTGGAAAGTCGTGGTAATTGAGATATTCCCGCCCGGAATGTCGCCGTATTTCCTGATGTCGTCTCGGGATCTGGCGCCGGAAAAATCTTGCCGGGGAACCTCAGGCATTTCTTCACCAAAATTGGGGTTAAAAGTAACGGGTTTGGGGTTTATTTACCAGGGAATGGGAGGAGAAAAGTGATTCCCGGGGGCCAGAATTCCGGGAATGACCATAAACAGCTCAAAAACTGGGAATGGCATTAAAAAGGCCCAAGGGAGGAGGAGAAGGGAGGGAGAATCAACGGCCAACGGGAAGGGAATCCCAAGGATAGACCAATGCAGGGGTTTTTTTTTGGGATCCACGTGCAATTCCAGAGAAATTCCCACGTTTGTGCTGTAAAAACAGCGAAAATCGGCATTTTGGACGAATCCCGAGTTGCTCTGTGGTGGGAATTCCAACAAGCAGGGAATTCTGCGGCTGGAATATTCCTGCTATCCATAATCTCCTGAAAAGCAGGAGAATGGGGGAGGAGGGAAAAAAAAAAAAAAGATAATTTGGCAATTTTTAGTCCCCAGCGTTTCACCAGAAGGTGATTTTTTTGGGGGATTGGGATGGAATTTCTGGATGCAGGGAAGGTCTGGGAGGTTGAGGAGGGACAGAGATCCCACTCGGTTTTCTCCCGGAATCCTCCCCCTCCTCCCGCAGTAAATCCAAGGAAATTAAGGAATTAAGGAAAACTAAATCCCAAACGAAGAGGCTGGAGGAGTGGGAGGGATGGGAATGGGAGAAACGAGAAGAATAATTGGATTTAATCATCATTAATTAGCAGTTGGGGTGTCGATTGGGCTGCTCGTCCCCAGGGAGTTGGGAATTTAAAATATAAATAATTAAATGAGAGGAGAATAAATAAAAGGGAGAATAAAGGAAGGGGCAATAAAAGGACAAGAAATAAAGGAACGATAAATGAAAGGACAATAAAAGGACAATAAATAAAAGGACAATAAAAGGTCAATAAATAAAAGGACAATAAAAGGTCAATAAATGAAAGGACAATAAGTAAAAGGGCGATAAAAGGTCAATAAATGAAAGGACAATAAATAAAAGGACGATAAAAGGACAATAAAGGACAATAAAAGGTCAATCGAAGGACAACAAAAGGACAATAAAGGTCAATAAAAGGTCAAAAAATGAGGGTCAATAAAAGGATAATAAAAGGTCAATAAAAGGACTATAAAGGTCAATAAAAGGTCAATAAATGAGGGTCAATAAAAGGATAATAAAAGGTCAATAAAAGGACTATAAAGGTCAATAAAAGGTCAGTAAATGAGGGTCAATAAAAGACAACAAAAGGATAATAAAAGGACAACAAAAGGACAATAAAAGGTCATTAAATGAGGGTCAATAAAAGACAACAAAAGGAAAACAAAAGGACAATAAATGAACAATAAAAGGACTATAAAGGTTAATAAATAAAGGACAACACAAGACTATAAAGGACAGCAAAGGTCAATAAACAAAGAACAATAAAAGACAATAAAAAGATCAATAAAAGGACAAAAAAATAATGAAATTACACTTTCCACCTGAAAATATGTAAATTCAACAACACTAAACATGGATTTTACCAGCCTGACCCGTTCTTTTATTTATTTATTTTTTTAAACCATCCCATTTTCCTCTCTTTGAACCCCAAAATTTGCCATTCTCTCCATCACTGTGGCCGGGGAGAGAACACAGAACATGGGAAAAAAAAGGGAATCCGGGAATAATTCACCTTTTGAGGGGAATAATTCACCTTTCAAATCCACCATTTTTCCTCTTGGATGACTCATTTTTCCCTTGGAAGATTTTTTTATCCTTTGGAAGACGTGAGAGGACATGAAAAATGGGATGGAGAAGATGGAAATAGGGATGGAGAAGATGGAAATAGGGATGGAGAAGATGGAAATAGGGATGGAGAAGATGGAAATAGGGATGGAGAAGATGGAAATAGGGATGGAGAAGATGGAAATAGGGATGGAGAAGATGGAAATAGGGATGGAGAAGATGGAAATAGGGATGGGGAACATGGAAATAGGGATGGAGAAGATGGAAATAGGGATGGGGAACATGGAAATAGGGATGGAGAACATGAAGACAGGGATGGAGAAGATGGAAATAGGGATGAAGAAGATGGAAATAGGGATGGGGAACATGGAGATGGGGATGGAGAACATGGAAATAGGGATGGAGAAGATGGAAATAGGGATGGAGAAGATGGAGAAGGGGATGGAGAACATGGAGAAGGGTCTGGAAAACATGGAGAAGGGGATGGAGAACATGGAAATGGGGATGGAGAAGATGGAGAAGGGGATGGGGAACATGGAAATAGGGATGGAGAAGATGGAAATAGGGATGGAGAAGATGGAAATAGGGATGGAGAACATGGAGGAGGGGATGGGGAACATGGAAATAGGGATGGAGAAGATGGAAATAGGGATGGAGAACATGGAAATAGGACTGGAGAACATGGAAATAGAGATGGAGAAAGTGGAGATGGGACTGGAGAACATGGAAATAGGGATGGGGAACATGGAGATAGGGATGGGGAACATGGAAATAGGGATGGAGAACATGGAAATAGGGATGGAGAACGTGGAAATAGGGATGGAGAACGTGGAAATAGGGATGGATAACATGGAAATAGGGATGGAGAACGTGGAAATAGGGATGGAGAACATGGAGAAGGGGATGGAGAAGATGGAAATAGGGATGGGGAACATGGAAATAGGGATGGGGAACATGGAAATAGGGATGGGGAACATGCAAATAGGGATGGAGAACATGGAAATAGGGATGGAGAAGATGGAAATAGGGATGGAGAACATGGAGAAGGGGATGGAGAACATGGAAAAGGGATGGAGAACATGGAAATAGGGATGGAGAAGATGGAAATAGGGATGGAGAAGATGGAAATAGGGCTGGAGAACATGGAAATAGGGATGGAGAACATGGAGAAGGGGATGGAGAAGATGGAAATAGGGATGGAGAAGATGGAAATAGGGATGGAGAACATGGAAATAGGGATGGAGAACATGGAAATAGGGATGGAGAACATGAAGACAGGGATGGAGAAGATGGAAATAGGGATGGGGAACATGCAAATAGGGATGGAGAAGATGGAAATAGGGATGGAGAACATGGAAATAGGGATGGAGAACATGGAGATAGGGATGGAGAACATGGAAATAGGGATGGAGAACATGGAGATAGGGATGGAAAACATGGAGAAGGGGATGGAGAAGATGGAGAAGGGATGGAGAACGTGGAAAAGGGATGGAGAACATGGAAAAGGGGCTGGAGAACATGGAAAAGGGGATGGAGAACGTGGAAAAGGGATGGAGAACACGGAGAAGGGGATGGAGAACATGGAAAAGGGATGGAGAACATGGAGAAGGGGATGGGGAACATGGAAATAGGGATGGAGAAAATGGAGAAGGGGATGGAGAACATGGAAAAGGGGCTGGAGAACATGGAGAAGGGGATGGAGAACATGGAAAGGGAATGGAGAACATGGAAATAGGGATGGAGAACATGGAAAAGGGGATGGAGAAGATGGAAATAGGGCTGGAGAACATGGAAATAGGGATGGAGAACACGGAGAAGGGGCTGGAGAGGGACTGCAGAACACAGGGAAGAACCCGATTTAAGGGTGTTCCCAACAAATACTTGGAATCAGGGTGGCCCAAACAGCCCAACCTGGGGAAGGAGAAAAAGGGGGTAGAGAGGGAATTTTCTGGGTCCTTTGTGATTATTTTTTTTCCAGTTTGGGGGGGAATTCCTCGCTGGAGGAAAAGCAAAACCCCTCGTTTGGCGGGGCTGGGATTCCTTTCCCCATCCCTTTGTTTTCAGGGATCCTGGGATGCTCCCAGCAGAGCTGGCACCGCTCCAGCGGCTGCGTGGGGGGATGTTGGGATGGAATTCCTGCATTTTTAAGGGCTCTGTGGGTGGAGCTGCTCCCCATCCCTCGGAACAGGGTGAGGAGAGGGGGGGAGTTGTGGGATGAGGCTCCTCCGAGAGGGTTTGGGACTCTCTGAGCCGGCTGGGACTTTAATTACAGTAATTTTTTTTTTTGGGGGGGGGTGTGCCGATGACATCGGGATGACACGACCCCCTCCCGGGAGGTCTCCAAACATTCCTGGGATGCCGAAAAAGCAGCCAAAAAAACCCAACCCTTCGGATGCTCACGGGGGGAGGGGAAGGGGGGGGTGTTAAAGGAAAATGTTGCCCCTTCAGGGCTTGTTTGGGAACTCAAAATCCACTCAAACAATTAAAACACCCCCCCTCGATTTGGAGAAGAGGAGTGGAAGAAAGGAGGGGGGTCAGATGTTTTCCTTGGAAGTGTTTTCCCTGCCGAGGCTCTGCTGGACACCGGGAAGTGGCCGGGGTGGGATCGGGTTACTCCGGAACACCCCGGGAGCCCCTTTGGAATGAGGGGAGGGGGGGGATGAGCAGGAAAATTCCTGCAGGGATGGAGGGAATGGAGGGGGAGAAAGGGGTTGGACTGGTGGATTTCCCTGTTCAGCATCCACTGCTCCATCCCGGGGGTGTTTGCCGGGACTGATCCAGGCTCAGCACTCGGGAATTCACGGCTGGAAAAGCAGGATCCGAGCAGCGACCTCATCCCCGAGTCGTTCTCCTGGAGCCCTTGGAATGTGCTGGGAGGTCTCCCCTGTGTCTTTTCCTGCTCCAGGGGAACATTCCCGGCTCTCCCAGTCCTTCCCTGGAGCCGAGGGGCTGCAGGATCCTGGAAATACGGAATGGTTTGGGTGGGAAGGGTGACCTTAAATCATCCCATCCCCCCTAATTCCAAGGGCAGGGACGCTTTCCATAGCCCAGGTTGCTCCAAGCTCCATCCAACCTGGCCTTGGACACTTCCAGGGATCCAGGGGCAGTCACAGATTCCCTGGGAAAGCCGGCATTTAGGGGTCTTGCTTCTATTCCCAGTTTTTTTCAGGATTCTGTCCCTCTGCCACCCCATCCAGCTTTCCTTCCCTCTGTCCCTGTCCTGATACTCCAATCCCAGGTATCCACTCCCTGCTTGGTTGATGTGTCCCTGTGTCCTTGATCCCTGTGTCCTTGGATCCCTGTGTCCTTGGATCCCTGTGTCCTTGATCCCTGTGTCCTTGATCCCTGTGTCCTTGGATCCCTGTGTCCTTGATCCCTGTGTCCTTGATCCCTGTATCCTTGATCCCTGTCCCTGTGTCCTTGATCCCTGTGTCCTTGGTCCCTGTGTCCTTGGTCCCTGTGTCCTTGGATCCCTGTGTCCTTATCCCTGTCCCTGTGTCCTTGGATCCCTGTCCTGCATTCCCTAGATCCCTGTGTCCTTGGATCCCTGTCCCTGTGTCCTTGATCCCTGTGTCCTTGATCCCTGTGTCCTTGGATCCCTGTCCCTGTGTCCTTGGATCCCTGTGTCCCTGGATCCCTGTGTCCTTGATCCCTGTCCCTGTGTCCTTGGATCCCTGTGTCCCTGGATCCCTGTCCCTGTGTTCCTGTATCCCTGTGTCCCTGGATCCCTGTGTCCTTGGATCCCTGTGTCCCTGGATCCCTGTGTCCTTGGATCCCTGTCCCGTGTCCTGATCCCCTGTCCTGTGGATCCCTGTCCCTGTGTCCTTGATCCCTGTGTCCTTGATCCCTGTGTCCCTATGTCCCTGTCCCTGTGTCCCTGGAACCCTGAGTCCTTGGATCCCTGTCCCTGTGTCCTTGGATCCCTGTGTCCTTGGATCCCTGTCCCTGTGTCCTTGGATCCCTGTCCCTGTGTCCTTGGATCCCTGTGTCCTTGGATCCCTGTCCCTGTGTCCTTGGATCCCTGTCCCTGTGATCCCTGATCCCTGTTCCTCTGGATCCCTGTCCTGTGTCCTTGGATCCCTGTCCCTGTGTCCTTGGATCCCTGTGTCCTTGGATCCCTGTCCCTGTGTCCTTGATCCCTGTGTCCCTGTATCCCTGTGTCCTTGATCCCTGTGTCCTTGGATCCCTGTGTCCTTGATCCCCATGTCCCTGGATCCCTGTCCCTGTGTCCTTGGATCCCTGTGTCCCTGTATCCCTGTGTCCTTGGATCCCTGTCCCTGTGTCCTGATCCCTGTGTCCTTGGATCCCTGTGTCCTTGATCCCTGTCCTGTGTCCTTGGATCCCTGTCCTGTCATGTCCTGTGCCCTGGATCCCTGTGTCCTTGATCCCTGTGTCCTTGGATCCCTGTCCCTGTGTCCTTGGATCCCTGTGTCCTTGGATCCCTGTGTCCTGTGTCCCTGGATCCCTGTCCCTGTGTCCTTGGATCCCTGTGTCCTTGGATCCCTGTGTCCTTGGATCCCCATGTCCTTGATCCCTGTGTCCTTGGATCCCTGTGTCCTTGATCCCTGTGTCCTTGATCCCTGTCCCTGTGTCCTTGGATCCCTGTGCCTGATCCCTGTCCCTGTGTCCTTGTCCTGTGTCCCTGTGTCCTTGGATCCCTGTGTCCTTGATCCCTGTGTCCTTGATCCCTGTCCCTGTGTCCTTGGATCCCTGCATCCTTGGATCCCTGTGTCCTTGATCCCTGTCCCTGTGTCCTTGGATCCCT